GAGAGGAGGAGCGGAAGGAGGAGAAGGAGGAGGAGAAGGAGGAGGAGGAGGAATGGGAAGAGGAAGAGGGAAAATGGGGAGACGAGGGGAGAAGAGAAGAGAGAGCAGGAGGGGGAGGGCAGGGGAAGGCGAGGAAGTGAAGCAGAGGAAAGAAGCGAGAGAAGGAGGAGGAGAAGGAGGAAGCGGAGGAGGAGGAGCCGGACGCCGCGAAAGCGGTCGAGAGCACGTCGAAGAGAAAACGGTCAGGGAGCGGGATGCGGACCCAGAGGCGCCGCCAGAAGTGGTCCAGCGCTTCCCCGAGAAAGCCGAGCGCATCTCTGGAATGTTCTGTCTGTGCCATTTTCTTCGTCTTCGAACAGGAGGAGGAGGAGGACGACGACGACGATGACGAGGAGGACGAGGAGGAGGGGGAGAAGGACAAGGACGTGACGAGGACGAGGAGCAGGAGGACGAGGACAAGGATGAGGAGGAGCGAGCAGAAGGACGAGGGCGAGGAGGAGCCGGCACCCGTCGTCCTGTCCGGCGGCCGCGGCACTCGCGGGGGCGACGTAGGTGATGCTCTCGCGCCCCTTTGCGCCCTCCACGAAAAACTGCCGCGGGTACCGCGACAGGAACCTCGGGATCCCCCCGACGCCACGGAGGAAGGTCGAGGATCGGCGAGCGAGGTTTTGGGACGTCCTCTGCGCTGTGGGCCCCCCTGGAAGCCTCGGGGGTCCTCCGGAAACCTCCGAAGACGCCCCCCCCGGCAGCTAACATCGCAATCCGAGCCAAGCACTGCCATACCCTCCTCCTACTTCTTGACGTAAGGCAAGCATGAGGTGGGGCCTGTTGCGATATTTTCCTCCTCCTCCTCCTGCCCTCCTCCTCCTCCTCTTCCTTCACCTTCTCCTCCTGTTCCTCCTCCTCCGCCTCCTCCTCCTCCTTCTCCTCCTCCTCCTCCTCCTCCTCCTCCTCCTCCTCCTCCTAGGCCTCCTCTGAGGCAAGAGCTGTTTCCTCCTCCTCGTCCTTCTCCTCCTCCTCCTCCTCCTGCTTTCCTCCCCCTTCTCCTGCCCGCCACCTACTCCTCCTTTTCGTGCTCCTCGTGTTCCTCCTCCTGCTCCTCCTCCTCCTCCTCCTCCATTCCTTTTCCCTGATTACGCCACCGAGGAACCCCACATACTTATATGATGGCTGGAGTGATGAGAGCTGAAGTGAAGCATGTGAGAATGATGTTGGTGGCCGTTGCCCCGCCGATACCGCTGTGCCCTGGACGACCGTCACGGATAGCGGCCGCGGTGAGAGACCACCCCCTGCGCACCCCTGATGGTGTCGAGACTATGCCATGCCTGCTGTGCCCTGGACGACCGTCACGGATAGCGGCCGCAGTGAGAGACCACCCCCTGCGCACCCCTGATGGTGTCGAGAATATGCCATGCCTGCTGTGCCCTGGACGACCGTCACGGATAGCGGCCGCGGTGGGAAACCACCCCTTGCGCACCCCCTCCGGTGTCGAGAATATGCCATGCCTGTTGTGCCCTGGACGACCGTCACGAGTAGCGGCCGCGGTGAGAGACCACCCCCTGCGCACCCCCTATGGTGTCGAGAATACGCCATGCCTGCTGCTGTGCCCTGGACGACCGTCACGGATAGCGGCCGCGGTGAGAGACCACCCCCTGCGCACCCCCTTATGGTGTCGAGAATATGCCATGCCTGCTGTGCCCTGGACGACCGTCACGGATAGCGGCCGCGGTGAGAGACCACCCCCTGCGCACCCCCTATGGTGTCGAGAATATGCCATGCCTGCTGTGCCTGGACGACCGTCACGGATAGCGGCCGCGGTGGGAGACCACCCCTTGCGCTTCCTATAGTGTCGAGGATATGCCATGCCTGCTGTGCCCTGGACGACCGTCACGGATAGCGGCCGCGGTGAGAGACCACCCCCTGCGCACCCCCTATGGTGTCGAGAATATGCCATGCCTGCTGTGCCCTGGACGACCGTCACGGATAGCGGCCGCGGTGAGAGACCACCCCTTGCGCACCCCCTATGGTGTCGAGAATATGCCATGCCTGCTGTGCCTGGGCGACCGTCACGGATAGCGGCCGTGGTGAGAGACCACCCCCTGCGCACCCCCTATGGTGTCGAGAATATGCCATGCCTGCTGTGCCCTGGACGACCGTCACGGATAGCGGCCGCGGTAAGAGACCACCCCCTGCGCACCCCCTATGGTGTCGGGAATATGCCATGTCTGCTGTTCCCCGGACGATCGTCATGGATAGCGGCCGCGGTGAGAGACCACCCGCTGCGCACCCCCATTGGTGTCGAGAAGATGCCATGCGTGCTGTGCCCTGGACGACTGTCACGGATAGCGGCCGCGGTGAGAGACCACCCCTTGCGCACCCCCTATGGTGTCGAGAATGTGCCATGCCTGCTGTGCCTGGGCGACCGTCACGGATAGCGGCCGTGGTCACCCCCTGCGATGGTGTCGAGTGCCGCTGTGCCCTGACGGATGACCCCCTGCGCACCCCCTATGGTGTCGAGAATATGCCATGCCTGCTGTGCCCTGGACGACCGTCACGGATAGCGGCCGCGGTGAGAGACCACCCCCTGCGCACCCCCTATGGTGTCGAGAATATGCCATGCCTGCTGTGCCCTGGACGACCGTCACGGATAGCGGCCGCGGTGAGAGACCACCCCCTGCGCACCCCCTATGGTGTCGAGAATATGCCATGCCTGCTGTGCCCTGGACGACCGTCACGGATAGCGGCCGCGGTGAGAGACCACCCCCTGCGCACCCCCTATGGTGTCGAGAATATGCCATGCCTGCTGTGCCCTGGACGACCGTCACGGATAGCGGCCGCGGTGAGAGACCACCCCCTGCGCACCCCCTATGGTGTCGAGAATATGCCATGCCTGCTGTGCCCTGGACGACCGTCACGGATAGCGGCCGCGGTGAGAGACCACCCCCTGCGCACTCCCTATGGTGTCGAGAATATGCCATGCCTGCTGTGCCTGGACGACCGTCACGGATAGCGGCCGCGGTGAGAGACCACCCCCTGCGCGCACTCCCTATGGTGTCGAGAATATGCCCTGCCTGCTATGCCCTGGACGACCGTCACGGATAGCGGCCGCGGTGAGAAACCACCCCCTGCGCACCCCCTATGGTGTCGAGAATATGCCATGCCTGCTGGGCCCTGGACGACCCTCACGGATTGTGCAGACGTCTTGGGTGTAGGATGCACTGAACATGCGCCTTGTGTGTGCGAGTGTGTGCATGCGTGCGGCTGTATGTAGACGCGTGTCTCATGTACTTGCCGTGCATGTGTTGACCGCGGGTTGAGGAGAGGAATGAAGAGGAGGAGGGGAGGTGAGGGGACGCGGGTGCGCCGCGGCAGGGAAGAAAACCAGAACCCCACGAAACATGTGGGGAAAACAACTTCTCCCTGTCGCACCCCGGCCGGTTTTTAGAGCGGACCGGGCGTTTCGCCTGAGACTTCCTAACCATTTATGACCGTGAAGCTTGAACTTGGCAATAATTTGACAGATGGAGGTCGGGTGGAAGTCAAAATGTGGCTCTCTCCTCAGCGCCGCGCACATTCGTTTCAAATCATTTGCAAGGGCTTCACGGATGGAGGGCGGGTGGTTTTCAAAATGTGGCTCTCGCCTCAGGGCCGCGCACATTCGTCTCAAATGTACAAGAGCTTCACGGATTGAGGGCGGATACTTTCCAAATGCGGTACTCGCATTAGCGCCGCGCGAATTCATTGTAAACAATTGCAAGAGCTTCACGGATTGAGGGCGGATCCTTTTCAATATGTGGCTCTTGCTTTAGCGCTGCGCACATTCGCTTTCAATATTTGCGAGAGTTTCACCGATTGAGGGCGGCTCCTGTTCAAAATGTGTCTCTCGCCACAACGCCGCGCACATTCGCATTGAACCTTTGCGACAGTTTTACGGGTTCCCATGATCGACGTATCAGAAATTGTTTTTGAGAAGAGCTCAAGATTCTGAGCGCGCAACAGTTATATTGAAGCGCGGTCTTGTAATCCCAGGAATGGCGTTCTGGCACGATTCAGGAAATCCAAGGCGCAACAATCAAGTTTATGCTTTGCGTTGGAACCCCGAAAACAATGTTTTGGCACGCTTCAGGGTCTTCAAACGGTTGCCTTCCAACGAGGCAGTTCCATCAGTGAGAATGAACCCTTGTATGGGGCCTACGGAGAGGGAGCTTGGAGGGAGGGTTTATTCCAACATCATTGATGATTCGTGGGTGTACACTGGTCCTCCTCTTCCTCCTGCTCCCCCTCCTCCTCCTCCTCCTCCGTCCCAACTCCTTCTCAATTACTCCTCCCGGTCGCACCCCGAGGCCAGTCGAAAGGGCGGGCCGCCTGAGACTTTGTCACCAGCGGTGACCCTACAAGCTTGAACAAAAATGGCAACCGTTTCACAGATGGAGGGCGGGTGGTTTTCGACATGTGGCTCTCGCTTTAGCGCCGCGCACACGCGTTTTTGGAAATTTGCAGCAGCTTCACGTGTTGAGGGCGGGTGGTTTTCAACATGTGGCTCTCGCCAAAGCGCCGCGCACACTCGTGGAGGAGGAGGAGGAGGAGGAGGAGGAGGAGGAGGAGGAGGAGGAGGGGGAGGAGGGGGAGGAGGAGGGGGGGGGGAGGAGGAGGAGGAGGAGGAGGAGGAGGAGGAGGAGGAGGAGGAGGAGGAGAGGAGGAGGAGGAAGAGGAGGAGGAGGAGGAGGAGCAGGAGCAAAGCTTCACGGATGGAGGGCGGCCCGTCTGCAAGATGCGCCTCGCGCCGTGGCTCCGCGCGCAGTCGTCTTATCGAAGCTGGCAGGAGCTTCGCGGATCCAGGGCGGCGTCCTCTCAACGTGTGGCTCTCGCCATAGCGCCGCGCACATCCGTTCCAAAAGTCAGCGAGAGGTTTGCGACGTCTCATGGTTCACTTACCAGGCAGGATATGCTGGATCGATTCCTGCTTGACAGGGCGCGACACTTACGCTGATTCGCGGTATTGGTCCCAGGAATGACGTGTTGGCGCGATTCAGGAATGCCAAGACCTGGTGTCTGGACACGCTTCAGGACTTTTACACGGTGGTCCCCCAAAGGGGCACTTCCCTCAGTGGAAATGAACCCTTGTAGGGGCCAACCAAGAAGGAGGTTGGAGGGAGGTGTATTCCAATATCGCCGGTGGGTCTTAGGTTTACACTAGTCCTCCTTCCTCCTTCTCCTCCTCCTCCTCCTCCTTATGCCCTCCTTCTCCTCCTCCGCCTCCTCCTCCGAGGCAAGAGCTGCTTGAGGCCCTGGTCCGTCTTCTTCAAGTAGTTCCGAGCGCCCGGCGACAATGCCACGCCCAGCATGCTGAGAAGCAGCTGGCCTGCTGCTGCAATTCCTTCTCCTCCTTCTCCTTCTCATTCTCCTCCTTCTCCCCCCCGTCCCTCTGAACCCTCCCTCTGCTGCTCCTCTTCCTCCTCTTCGTCCACGACCCCTGTGCCTTCTCTGCCCTCCGCAACCCTCCTTCCCCTCCACACACACACTCTGACACACAGCATTCTGAGAACCAGCTGGCCTTTCCCGGGGACCCCCATGTGGGCGCAGCACTCGGCACGCACCTCCTCCGCGGTGACCTCGTGGCAGTCCTGCCCGCCGGCCTGCTCCTGGGGCACGTCGGCGCTCAGGAGGTTCTTGAAGCGCAGCTTGTTCGGCCGCTCCGAGAACAGAAACACCTGGCGCCAGAGTGCGCAAGAGCGCCCTTCGGGTCGGGCGAAAGGGCGGGATAGCGAATGGGGGGTTTGAGAATCAGCTCACGTAGCTGATTTTCCCGGCGCCTCCCGGCGCCAGAGGCGGCCATGTATCGAGGAATGGGTCGGCGGCGGGGCCGAAGCCAGCAGCATGCAGCAAAATTCGTAGCCCCCCCCCTTTCCCAATCCCCCCCTTCCGTCCGGCCCGAGCCCTGCCCGCGCCCGCGGGAGCGCGGAAGGGCGTCACCACCACCACCGCCAGAGCGAGGCGCCGGGGAGGGCACTCCTGGTGGTGCGGTCCCCCCCCCCCCCTCGCTCGAGGCACCCCCCACTACGGTGGGGGGCGCTTGTCAGGGACGGTGCCCTCCAGGAGGCCTCAGACCCTGGAGGCTTCCTGCTCTGATGAGGGCGGCGGTGATGTCCACGGCCGAGCCTCGACTGGAGCTCCACTGGCCTCCAGACCCCAGATCCCTTATCCGACGCCATCACCGTACGGCAGGGGGGGGAAACCATTAGTGGGCACTCCCCCGCTCCCCCAAACTCAAGGTTGGCACGCGCGGGGGGAAGACTGCGGCCGAAGCGCAACTCATCAGAGCCACCGCCAGCGTTGAACGTTGGGGGGATGCGGGGAGGCGCTGACCGATGAATGTGGCATGCGTGTTCGCCATGTTTGTCCGAGGCCTGTATCCTTAGCTCGGGGCTCTGGGGAGGCATCGTGGACCTCCTCGCTGGAGGAGACCCGCCCCGGTGGTGCACTCTCCTGCCGGCCGCGGAGGGTGCCCCACCGGGGTGTCGGCGAGAGGACGTCTCGCGCGGAGAGAGAGCACCGACCAAAGCATCCAGTCGTCCTCGCACCCTCCTCCTCTCCAACACATTTGTAAGACGAGACAAATACCATTGTTGCAAAATTTGTTGTCGCTTGATTCTGGAATCAACAAATATCAGGGGGACGTAAGACCTGGGTACAGGGGACTCGGAAATCCCCGACGAGGTCGTCAAAAAAATGACGAGGCCGAGCCTGCATTTTGACGAGGCCTCCCGCTGCAGACATCCCACGAAACTCCTCCTCGTCAAAATCCGAGGCGCGGTCGTCAAAAAACGATGGCGAACCCGAGTCCTGGCAAACCCGGGTCTTACGCTCCCCCGAAAATACACAAGTGACAAAAAAAAGATCTGGCCACAAACAACACCCCCCCGGTTGTCAACGAATGCCCGCGGATGCCTCCACGTAGCGGCCTCCCCTCACGGCGCCGCCGTCCACTGATGCTCCACCAGCAACATCCAGCATGCGGCCGTTCAGCTCGTCACGCGCGGCGCGCGCCGCCATCGGCGAGTTCAGCTGCACACAGGCAAAGCCAGACGGACGTCCATCCCGATTCATGATCAGACGTATGGGATGACCAAGCCTCTCGTCCTTCAAGTTCCTCCCGTGACGTCCCAGAAATCCCTTCACATCTGTGACGGTCGCCCGATATGGCAGCCCACGCAACTGCAGCACCGATTCGTGGTTCTCGTCCTCTTCGCGACGGCTCGGGGACATGCTCTCAGGACAAGCTGACTGTGGGGCTGCCGCGGCAATCCTGGATGCTGCGTGGCCTCCGGTCTTCGCGTCAGGACCCCTCTTCTGAAAGAGAGGCAAAGACTGCAGCTCGCTCCCCTTCAAGAGGGAGGTCACGCTCTCCTTGCCGGGCGCCCCCGTGACCGAGACAAGCATGTGGTACTTCTGCAGCGCGCTCCGGAGGCCGCCGCGCATCCTCGCCCGGTCGCGGAGGTCCTTGGGGCACAAGCCCGCTGGCCTCCCCCGGGTACAGTTTTTTGATTCGCGGGTCGAGAGCGCACCTCTTCCGGTCGAAGCTAAGCGGGCCGCGCGAAGCTTGAATTAACAAAGAGGGGGGGGAAAGAAGGAGGAACTCTCCCCCCCCCCCCGGGGTACAGTCACCCCATAAAAAAATATGGGCAACCTTCCCAAGGCTGCCCCTGCAGCCTGGCCCCTTCGGGCCGTCCCTGGCGACCTTCGCTGGCCAGCCTCGTTGGCAAAGCGTCGCATCAGCATGGGCCTCCAAGGCTCTTGCACCCGTACCGCGCATCCTAGTGATACAGTCGGGGCGTTGACCTAAGGAACCCTAAATAAGGAACGAGGCCCCTTTTTTCCCATAAGTTAAACTTCGATTTCCCATCGAAACCCTAAACAAAACCAAAGGCGAACTACAAAACAACTAAGGAGCACCGAGCCCCTCCCCAACGAACAGGGTTCCTTCCTCAGCGCCCCGACTGTGCGGACTGACCGTAGAGCCGCCTGTTCGGGGCAGAACCGCCCGCTCGGGGCAGAACCGCTCCGCCGCTAGCGGTCCAGCGGCGCAGCGGTCCGGGGCGAAGCTCTCCGCCGCCGGACAGCGTCGCCGCCGCATCGCTCCGCGGCCCGGATGCTTCGCCGCCACGCCTCCCTCGGTCCCTCCTCAAATCGGAATCGGTGATACAGGCGGGGCGTTGACCTAAGGAACCCTAAATAAGGAACGAGGCCCCTTTTTTCCATAAGTTAAACTTCGATTTCCGATCGAAAACACAAGGAACACCTGAGGCAAGCTGTGAAACACTTAAGGAACGCGGAGCCCCTCCCCAACGAAAAGGGTTCCGTCTTCAGGGCCCCGATTGTACGGTAGGGGGAGACAATTAGTGGGCACTCCCCCGTTCCCCCAAACTCAAGGTTGGCACGCGCGGGGGGGGGGGAGAACTGCGGCCGAAGTGCAACTCGTCAGAGCCACCGCCAACGTTGAACAGTGGGGGGAGGGGAGGGGACGTTGACCGATGAATGTGGCATGCGTGTTCGCCATTTTTGCCCGAGGCCTGTAATGCCGCGCGCCTTGCTGTTTTTTTTATTATTGGGCTCCACAGCTCACCTCCACCACAGTGCAGAGCAGGGCTGGCGGCCGTGGGGGACGCCAGCGCTCAGCAGACTTACTTCAGCGTATTGACGCACTGAATAAAACTGCCTGAGTTCAGAACCGAGGAACGCAGAGGTCCCTTTGCTTCCTTTTTTCCTCTCCCCGCAACGCAGCACAACCCAAACCCCAGGCGTCGTGGTGCATACTACAAGGCCTGGGCGGCCAGGTGAGAAACTGAGCGCCACGCGTGGACAGAAGCAGCAAGAGCAGGGAAAGGAAAAACATGCGGCAGGGAGGAAGGAAGGAAGGACCGAGAGCAGCAGGGGGAGAAGCAGGAAAGCGATCGAGAGACGAGGCAGCATAGCAAGAATGAGGGAGACCACGGCAAGCAGCGCGCAGCAGCAGGGGGACGGGAGGCCAGAAAACTGCAAGCCAAATGAAACGCTGAGAGGTATGGTGAAGCGCGGTACCTCCTGCCCCGCAGGGAAGCACGATTGCATCCAAGGGCAGCCAAACGAGTCGCAGGTAAGACTAGGAGGAGAGACAAGACAGGAGGGGCAGAGGGCAAGGATAAAGGAGCAAATGTCGCCATATCGCAGCCTGGAGCTCCACTGGCAAACCAAAACAAGTGTCCTAAAGTACCAGAGAAGCAAGCGAGACATGTCCGTTGCTTCCTGCGCTCATTCGTACTCGGACAGGCAACGACTGCACATGCCTCTTTTCGTTTAGGGCGTCGCAAACGAACCGTGACGGACAGATGCCGATGTGTGCTTACACTGGAGGCCGCTTCCAGGCCCCAGGACCGTCGGAAACGATTCAGGGTGGAAAGCCAGCCCTGGAGGGAGATTTAGAATGAGGAGCAGCTGCGCAAACAGAACGTTTGGACATCCGCGCGGATTTCTTGGATCGGCGCTGGACCCTCCTCCCTGGCGCTCGAAACGCGCCCCAGGGGAATTGCAGCGCCGATCCCAAAACTCTGAGCGGGATTTCAAAAGCTTCGAAAAGCTTATGCAGCTATTCTTCTTCGAAGGTCCACACTTCCCCATGGTGTCCAGGGTGCGGCAAGGATCGCTTGAGCAGGGACCGACCGGCCCGGCACTCCCATGGGCCTACTACGACATGTTCTTAGAACCCAAGCATGGTCTTTTAACAAAAACACGGCTCTCAAGATCTAAACCCGATGTGTCAAAACAGGACGGTCTCAACCGGACACGTCCTAAGAACATTTCGTGCAGACCACTGAGAAGTTCTTCGAGCACTCGCTGGTGGGCCTGAAAGCAAAACGGGGCGCCTCGCCGCTGCTCGAATCACGGCGTGGGCGGGGCCAGGCCCCCCGCCTCCCTCGGGCCTTTGGGCGACGTGGACAAGGCGCGGCGGCCAACCTCTGGGCACGGCCACCTCCTCCTCCTCCTCCTCCTCCTCCGCTTCCTCCTCCTCCTCCTGCTCCTCCTCTTCCTCCTCCTCCTCCTCCTCCACCTCCTCCCCCTCCTCCTCCTCCTCCTCCTCCCTCCTCCTCACTCCCCCCCCCCCTCCTACTCTCACTCCTCCTCCTCCTCCCTCCTCCTCCTCCTCCTCCTCCTCCCCCTCCCCTCCTCCTCCTCCTCCCTCCTCCCCTCCTCACCTCCTCCTCCTCCTCCTCCTACTCCTATCCTTATTCCTTATTAGAATATACTCCTACTCCCCCCTCAGGCCGGCAGATAGGGGCCGCATCCGGGTGGTCCCATCCTAACCTGTAAAAAACAATACAAAATCAACATTTTTTTATTTTTTTTTCTCGACATGGACGTCCTGTCGTCCACGGCGATAATCCATTGCAAAAAATACCACAAAGAGCACACGCGCGCGTTCATGTCAGAATCCTACCGAACACCGTGTGTTTGCAAGCATTTCAACATAAAAACATCAAAAACCCAATGCTTTTTCACAAAAATTGTACAAATTTCCCGCCCGGGCTCTCTTGCTGAAATCATAGGAAAACCATAGGAATCTTAAGAATTCTGTCAAATCCAGCGATTTCACGTCATCGCGCGGTGCACTCGCGATGCTCTGTCATGCACCCAGGCCGCGAATCCTGTGCAAAAAATACCACAAAGAGCACACTCGCGCGTTCATGTCAGAATCCTACCGAGCACCGTGTGTTTGCAAGCATTTCAACATAAAAACATCAAAAACTCAATGCTTTTTCACAAACATGCTTTGGGGTGTCCTGTCAGACCGTCGGGCTTCCTCCGGCCACCTCTGGCTTCCTGCGGTGTACCGGGCCATTCTCGACTCGTCTGGCAATGCGTGCGCGGCATTCAACACGCGCTCGCCAGTTCCCGTCGGCAACCGCCATCGCGGCCGCATCAGCTGTACCAAACCGGCTGGCCGGTGTGACTTCGGCCCCCAGTTGTGCCAGCTTTGCTTCTTATGTTGTGGGAGGGCGGGTGGGACTGGGCATGCCATGCTTGACTCGCTCGAGCTGGCTAGCTTGACTCCTACTCCTACTCCTCCTCCTCCTCCTCCTCCTCCTCCTCCTCCTCCTCCTCCTCCTCCTCCTCCTCCCCCTCCTCCTCCTCCTCCTCCTCCTCCTCCGCCTCCTCCTCCTCCTCCTCCTGCAGGACGCCTCTTGCACACTGCTGTGCAGGCGCGTGGCGCTCGCAGGCTGCTGTGGTACTGGCAGGCTCGGGCCCCGCGCGCCGCCTCGCGGTCGCAATTCTGTCGTGCTCTCTGTGGCGATGGGGCGCTCGCAAGCACCAGAGGTGGACCCAAACGGTGGTGTGTTGGCGATTTCGTGGGCCCTTCTCGTTTCGGTCTCGTTTTGCGTTGAAGGCGGATGGAAGACAAAACGCGGGAGCACGGAAACAATACGAAAACGAAGCAAACACGGTTTGGGCTCGGCCCTGGCAGGCACACTGTACCTTGCACCTTCGCCACCGCGCCTCTGGACACGGTGCGAGCAGGTACTTCCCCTCTCCTTTGCCTGTTCCTCCTCATCCTCCTGCTCCTCCTCCTCCTCCTCCTCCTCCTCCTCCTCTTCCTCCTCCTCCTCCTCCTACTTCTGCTCCTTCTCCTCCTCCCCCTCCTCCTCCTCCTCCTCCGCCATCGCTCCTGGGGAAGCTTCCAAAGGGACCCGGCCTCCAAACACTGCGACGTTTCCGCGGGCTGCGCCCGTGCCGCACGGGCACCCCCGCGCGGTGGCGCGCGAAGTGTTCGGGCCCCTCGGAGGGCCCCAAGACGGGCCGAAAGTGCCCGACGAGGCCCTCGAGGCTGTCCAAGGAGGGCCCTGCGACGCCGAAAGATCGCCCCAAGACGCCCGAGATGGCCTCAAGATGGCCCCAGAAGCCTCGAACACGCCCCAGGGAGTCTCCAAGGGGCCTCCCAACAGGGCCCCAAGTGGCAACAACCATGGGTATGTCTTTTGGTGTTGGAAGGGTTTGGGCGTTCTCACCGTTTCTGCTTCCCGACGCTCCAAGATGGCCCAACAGGCCCCCCAAACCACCACAAGGCGAGTCAAACGGCCTCCAAGAGGGCCCCGAGACGCCCTGAGAGCGCCCCAAGACGGCCCAAGAGGCACCCAAGACGGCCCAAGAGGGCCCCAAGACGGCCCCAAAAGAGACCCAAGAGAGGGAACATGAAACGAAAATCCGAGCCTTCCGCCCCCAAAGGCCCCCAGGAGGCACCAAGGGGCGCCCAAGAGGCCCCAAGACGCCCCAAGAGGACCCCAAGAGGACCCAAAAGGTCGCCAAGAGACCAGAAAGAGGCTCCAGGAACCCCCCAAAAACCGTCTCCAAAAGGCTTGGAAACTGCTTCCAAGAGCCCCCGACAAGCCTCCCACGAGATCCCAACGAAGACTCAATAGACTTCCCAATTACCCACGGACCAGCATGGTATCGAGATGGGGCTGAAGACC